GCGGGCTGGGCGCTGCGGGCTGGGCGCTGCGGGCTGGGCGTGGCAGGTCCCCTGTGTGTGGACAGGCGTGGAGGGGGAGCTGGACGGGGACCTCAGGGGCCCTGGAGGAGGATTGTTTTCGACGGGAGGGGATCGCTCTCGGGACCCTGCCGTGCCCATGACCTCTCTGTTCCGCCCAGACCTCTCCGCCCCGGTGAACGGCGAGGCCACGTCCCAGAAGGGCGAGAGCACAGAGGACAGGCAGCCCGAGGAGGGCCAGGACTCGGAGGAGGGGCCCAGGTGCGGCTCCTCTGAAGACCTGCAGGACGAGTGAGTGAGAGAGAGAGGGCGGCGTGGCGCACACCCTGGTTCTGGGCTGCTCCTTGTGGGACCCCACCCCCGTCTCAGAGTCGGTTGTCCTGGGAAGGGTCCTGGGGACGTCGCCTCTTGTCACAGGGCTGATATCCCAGAAGGAGGCCCAGGGACGTCACCCCTCAGTCACAGGGTCCCCCAGCCCACCGAGGCAGTATCAGGGCGGAGCTGCCTGGGCCCAGCCTGCCGGGCGGGCGGCTTCTCGCTGACCCTCGGCTGGCATCGAGCACAAGCACCGGCCGCTGGTGGCCTCCAGTGCCTGGCTTGTGTCTAGCAGCGAGGCCCAGCAGGGTCCAGCCTTCGCCAGGTGGCCACCGTGCCCTGGGCCTGCTGGAACCGAGCGTGGGGGTCCCGGGATGCCTGTGGGCTCTTAGCGGTGGGAGACGGGCAGACAGGTCTGCGGTGCCCGAGTCCAGAGACGGGGTACAGCTCTCCCTCGTGCCCCCCGGTGCCCCGGAGGCAGAAGGGGCGCCTGCTCACCCCCACCCCTGCCGTGTGCCCACAGCAGCCTGCAGGAGGACCCCGACCCGGATCGGCCTGGGAGCGACCAGCCGGAGCGCGCGAGGGGGCGGATGGACTCGGAGTCCCCGGATGAGGACAGCTGAGCCGCGGCAGCCCGGCCCGGCCACGCTCCGCCCACCGTGGGCGCCAGGCCTGCCCGTGTCCTCCCCAGCCTCCAGGAGAGCCGAGAACTTTCGGGGCAGCGCTGTGCTGCTTGTTTGCATTTGTTCCTTGGGTTTTTTTCTGCCTAATTTCTGTGATTTCCAAGCGACGTGAAATGACTATAAAGGGTTTTGTAATGAAAAAAGAAACCGCTTTTATTGGCGTGGCGTGCTGGCGAGGCTGGAGCAGCTGGGCTGGAGTGGCTGTGGCCGTCCGAGGGCCACCCTCCACGTGGCCACCCGAGCCGCCGGGGTGGGTTTTGTTCCGACGGGGCGCCTGGCCCCGCCCGCCCCACGGGCTGTTGCAGAGCGGGAGTGGGGAGGAGCTCTTTCCAGGAGGGGGTTGCGTCTCTGTTGCCGCCCCGGCGGGGGCTGTGTGGTGACCCTCCCTGCCTGTGTCTGGTGCCCCGCCGGCAGGCGGGAGCCGAGATGCTGGGGCCCGTGGAGTCCTGGCGAGCCGAAGGCTGGGTGGAGAGAGCGTGCCCGGTGTCCCCCCTGAAGGTTGCAGCCACCCTCCCCGGTCCCCTGCGTCCCGCCCCGCCCAGCCGCAGGTGGCCCTTGGGCACCGTGGGCTTGGGATGTTCAGCCTTCCCCTCCTCGTCCCACCAGCTTGCCGTGTGACTTTGGGCAGCGGCCCTCCCACTCCGGGCTGCTCTCTCGTCACTAAGGGGGTGACACCGGCTCACAGGACAGCCATGTGGGTTCAGGCGAGGGGTGTGAGCAGCGCCCCAGAGTCGCCGGCACAGGGTCACTGCTCATCCAGTGGTGGCTTCTAGTGCTTGTCCCTGCCTGCAGCGGCTACACTTGTTCCATCCACCAGGAGTAAGGCTGTGGCGTGGGAGGGAGGACTGCCTGAGCCTCAGCCCCACTGGGAGCTCACGGCACGTGCCTGCTTTCTGCGAATGACTGTCCAACATCGTAGCCCCCGAAGACCCTAGGAGGCAGGGGCTGAGGAGGGAGAGGCCTCCCGACGTGTCCCCGGCACAGCCCGTCACCGGGCGCTGCCCCGAGGTGCCAGCTTCAGGTCAGAGCCGAGCCGATGTACGTCCCGGCCACTCCCAGCCCCAGAGCCCGTGGTGAGCCCTTGGGGCCAGCCGGCCCCTCCACCTGCAGTCCCAGAAGCTGGAGGACTGGTCACCTGACAAGAGGAGCTTGGGGGAGACAGCCAGGACGGGAGTGTCGTCAGTCACACAATGCGGGCGTCAGGATGTGGGAGCCAGGATGTGGGTGTCACGGTGGGGGTGTCGGGATGCCGTGTCAAAAATGCAGGTGTCAGCCGGGCTTGGTGGCTCAGCCTGTAACCCCACGCCTTTGGGAGGCTGAGGTGAGTGGATTGCCTGAGCTCGCGGGTTCAAGACCCGCCTGGGCAGGCGAGACCTCATCTCTACAATAAATCAAAAAAATTAGCGTGGTGGCGCGCGCCTGTAATTCTGGCTACTCGGAAGGCTGAGGCGGAAGGATCGCGGAGCCCAGCAGGTCGAGGCTGCGGTGGCCTGGAGCGGCCGCTGCACTCCAGTCTGGGTGACCTAGTGAGACTCCAACTCAAAAAAAAAAATGCAGGTGTTGGGACGTGGGCGTGTCACGGTGTGGGTGTCGCCATGAGAGTGCACCTCCCAGCTGGAGCACTGAGCATGGCCGAGCGAAGCATCACGCATGCTGACACCCTGAGCTGCGTCCTGTCTCCAGGGCATGGCCTGGGGCAGCAGGAAAGGGGCCAGCTCGGACCCCCTGCGAGGCGGGTGGGTGGGCCACCTGCCAGCAGTGACCGCAGCCGCCCACCTTCCCAGTCAGCCTCCTCCTCCTGACCCCTTGGGCCACCCTGGGGACCCGGGGAACGTGCGTGTGGGAAAGGGCCGTGTCAACGCGCTTGCCTCCGTGGCTGCTGCCACAGCCCTGTCCCCAGCTGCGCGTATTGTGAATCCTTCCCTGACTCCGTCCCCACGGCTGGCTTTTGCTCTGTTGTCAGCAGCCCCTGGGCCCAGCCGGTCAAGGGCCACAGGGCCTCGGAGGCCGGGTGGGACCACGGGGAGGACTGGGCGGGGCAGTTTGTCTTGTGCCCTGCCGTCCTGCAGCCCTCAAGCCAAACCGTGCAAAGCCCGCGTCGTGCCTGCTGTGACTCCCAGCAGCTCCACCCCCATAAAGGCCCTCCTCGGCCCCGCGGGTCAGTAGAGGCAGTGGACGCCTATCTCGGGATGGCGGAGCGTGTTCTAGGACATTCTGGAAAAGGGTCCGTGGTTCTTAGGACACCCGAGGTGCTTGCCAAGGGTTGGAGGACAGATTGAGGCTGGTGGCCGCGAGGCCGGAAAAGACCCCGGAGATTAAAGAGCTGCTAAGCCGGGCTTGGTGGCTCAGCCTGTCATCCCGCGCCTCTGGGAGGCTGAGGTGAGTGGATGGCCTGAGCCCGCGGGTTCGAGACCCGCCTGGGCAACTTGGCAAGACCTCATCTCTACAATAAATCAAAAATCAACCGGGCGTGGTGGCGCGCGCCTGTAATTCCGGCTACTCGGAAGGCTGAGGCGGAAGGATTGCCGGAGCCCAGCAGGTCGAGGCTGCGATGGCCGGGAGCGGCCACTGCCCTCCAGTCTGGGCGACAGAGTGAGACTCCACTTCGAGGAAAAAAAAAGAGCTTCTAGAAGGTGCGTGGGGAGCCCCCGGGCCAGTGCAGATCTGGTGCTGTCTACCAATGGCGAGGGAAGGAGCTTGGCTGCCTGTCTGGCGACCCCAGGCACCCAGATCAGGAGAGGAGCCGGCAGCGCTGGAGAGAAGGTGGAACGCAGGCATGCCCGGGCACGGCGGGGCGTGGCGTGGCTCAGAAGGCCACTGCCTCCCTGGCTTCCCAGCGCTGGGCCAGCTCCTACCTGGGGCCCAGGTCTCTGCAACGCCGAGACAGCTTTGGGGCTGGGGAAAAGGCCGGGAGAGGCTCCCCAAGCCGGAGGGGAGACCCCATGCCCGTCCGCGCCCCCTACAGCCCCTGCCCGCCGGGCGGCAGGGCAAAGGGCCCCACCAGCCAGCCGGGCGGGGGGCTGTGCTGAAGCCCCTGCAGCAGCTGCTCCAGCCCCTGCCACGCCTGGCACACGCCCTCATGGCTCTGGGCCACGCGTGTCGCTGACAGGTCCTCCGCAGAGGCGGCTGAGGCCACCACGCCGTAGAGCTCGCAGAGGCTGTGCCGGGCGCGCCCCCCCTGCCGCTGCAGCTCGGCCGGCAGCCCCTGGAGGCCCGCGGCCAGGGCGCTGTAGGCCACGTGCAGCTGCCGGATGAGGCCGCGGGCCCTGGACAGTGCCCCAGCGTCCCAGCCCTGCAGGAGGAAAGGGAAGGTGAGAGGGGACCCAG